TGATTTCACTTCCATGTGGAATCTAAAAAACAAAACAAATGAACAAAGAAACAAAAAAGAGACCCATAAATACTGAGAACAACTGGTAGTTGCTAAGGGAAGGTGTAGGTAGATGGGTGAAACAGAGAAAGAGGATTAAGAGTTACAACCTTCCGGTTATTAAATAAATCATGGAGATGAAAAGTATAGAACAGGAAATAAAGTCAGTAATATTGTAATAACATATGGCAACAGCTGGTGACTACACTTATTGTGGTAAGCACTAATGTATACAATTGTTGAATCAGTATCTTGTATACCTTATGCTAATATAAAATTGTATGTTAATTATGCTTCCTTTAAAAAATAAAATAAAATAGGGGCACTTGGGTGCCTTAGACAGTTGAGCAACCCACTCTTGATTTTGGCTCAGGTCATGATCACATGGACATGAAATTGAGCCCTTTGTCATACTCCACACTGGGCATGGAGCCTGTCTAAGAGTCTGTCTTTCCCTTTTCCTCTGCCCCATCCCTGCTCACGTCCACACTCACTGTCTAAAAAACTAATAAAATTTAATTTAATTTAATTTAATTTAATTTAATTTAATTTTTAAAGAAGGATTATTATACACCATGACCAAGTAGATCCATTCCTGGAATGCAAGGATGGTTCAACACACAAAAATTGATTAATACAATACACCACATCAATACAATGAAGGAAAAAAAAACCCCACAAGACAATCTCAAGTGATGAAGAAAAGGCATCTGACAAAATCCCACCATCTTTCATGGTATCAGCAGTCAACAAAATAGGAATAGAAAGGAACTACCCCCACTTAACAAAAGCCAAAAATATAACACACACACACACACGAAAAATTATTCTCAGTGGTGAAAAGGCAGAAAGCCATTCCTCTCAGAACAGGAGCAGGGTCAGGATGCTTGCTTTCACCACTTGTCTTCAACACAGGACTGGATGTTCTAGTCAGAGCATTAGACAAGAAAAAGAAATAAAAAGCATCTAAATTAGAAAGGAAAAAGTAAAAGCATCTGTGCAAATGAAATAATATTACATGTAAAAAAACTTAAAGACTCCACAAAAAAAAAAACGGCTGCATCAACTAAATGAATTCAGCAAAGTAGCAAGATACATCAACACACAAAAATCAGTTGCATTTCTATATAGGAACAATGAATAACCTGAAAAGGAAATTACAAAACCAATTCCACTCACCAAAGCATCAAACAAAATCTTAGGAATTACCGTAACCAAAGATGTAAAAGATCTGCACAAT